TGAGATTTATGAAGAATATGTACAAGTAAAGCAACTTAGAGGGAAATTCAGCAATGATGCATACCGGAGAACCAAGAACCACCTTAAGGTGGTGTATTCAAATGTGTGTGGGAATTTGCAAATAGATTCCATTGGTGGAAATAAGTACTTTGTTACTTTTATTGTTGATCATAGTAGAAAGTTATGGATATACCTTATTAAGAGAAAGGATGAGGTATTTGATGTCTTTAAGAAGTTCAAGTCCATGACGAAGAGACAAAGTGGTCACAAGCTCAAAGTGCTCAAAACGGATGGTGGAGGCGAATATGTCTCAAATGATTTTAGGAGGTTTTGTGATCAAGCAGAGATAATACATGAGGTTGTACCACCCTATACACCACAACAAAATGGTTTAGACAAAAGGAAAAATCGATCGATAATGAATATGGCGAGAAACATGTTGAAGAAGAACAATTTTCTGAATGAGCTATGGGGAGAAGCCGTATACAACCTTCTATTTGTTGAATAGGTGCCCTACAAATAAGCTGGAAAATATAAAATCGGAGGAAGCATGGTCGGGGTTCAAGCCAAATATGAACCATTTGAGAGTTTTTGGTTCAATCGCATGTCGACATGTTCTGGGTCAACTTAGAAAAAGGTTGGACGATAAGGGTGAGGTGATGATTCTGGTTGGATATCACTATACCAGAGGTTATAAACTGTTTGATGTTGAGAAAAAGAGGACCGTGATCAGTCGGGACATAATCCTTGATAAAATAAAGCAAGTAGAGCACCCAATAACCAATTATACACAGACTGTAACCGGTTAGAGGCAAGAAAATAAAGGTGTAACTTGTTACAGACAGAAGGTAACCGGTCATAGCATGGATTTTTTTGATTCTGGAGATGTTGGAACTGATGTACAGCCATCAGTCGAGGTCTAAAATGAAGGAAATATTAGGAGGTCAACAAGGCAAATGAGTTTGCCTCAGAGACTCCAAGATTGTAAGTTGTTTCATTACAATGAGGTCAATGGCGATTGTGATTTCTTCCACTTTGCACTTATGGACGAATTTGAACCTGTCAATACGAAAGAGGATTTAAGCGATTTAAAGTGGATTTGTGCTATGAAAGAGCATCTGGAATCCATCGAGAAATACAGTACTTGAGAGCTAGTTAATCTATCAAAAGGAAAGAAGTCAATTGGTGTGAAGTGGATGTTCAAAGTAAAGGCAAATCCAAAGGGTGAGATAATCAAGCATAAGGCTAGATTGGTGGCTAAAGGATTTTTGAAAAGAGAAGGTGTAGACTTTGAAGAGGTTTTTGCGCCAGTTGCTCGCATTGAAACCATTAGTCTTGTTGTTGGTATTGAAAATAGGCACAATTAGCCTATCTACCAAATGGATGTAAAGTCGGCGTTTTTGAATGAACCACTTGAAGAGGAAACCCCCTGGTTTTATTCTTAAAGAAATAGAGCTGAATTTCTACAAGTTGAGGAAGGCATTATATGGCTTGAAGCAAACTCTAAGAGCTTGGAATAGAATAGTTGATGGTTTCCTAAAAGACATTGGCTTCAAGAAACATGTATTAGAGCATGGAGTCTATGTGAAGATGAATGCAAGTGAATGAGTAATCATCGTATGTTTATATATGGATGATTTATTGATTAAAGACATCAATGAGGATAGTATTTCAAAGTTCAAGAGAGAACTTATGGAAGAACTTGAGATGGCGGACCTTTGTATCATGACATACTTACTAGGCATAGAGTTCCACAAGTCAAAATTGGGACTGCTCATGCATAAAAGAAGATATGCTATTGAGATATCGAAAAAGTGTGAAATGGAGCATTGTAATTATGTCACTTCTCCGGAGGAACCAAGGTTGCAGTTGTTCAAGAATGAAGACGAGGAAGATGTTGATCTAACTCAATAGACGAGGTTGATTGGATCATTGCGGTACTTGTGCAATACGCGACCAAACATAGCATTTAGTGTTGGTATTGTGAGAAGATTCACGGCGAGACCGAAGGTGTCTCACTTGGCAGCAGTCAAAAGGATCTTGCGATATGTTAAATGTTCTGTTGACTACGAAATTCTCTTTCCCGCTGCGGATACATGCAGAAAATGTGATTTACTTGGTTTCACTGATTCCAATTGGTACAGAGATAAGGATGATCAAAAGTCTACAGCTGGATACATCTTTATGTTCAATGCGACGCTAATCTTATGGTGTTCGACGAAGGAACCGATGATTTCACTCTCATCTTATGAGGCCGAGTATATCGTCGCTTCGTTATGTGTGTGCCAAGCCGTATGACTTATGAATCTATTGGAAGAGTTGGGCAGCAGTGAGGGTGATATTGTCACACTTTTAGTTGACAATTTTTCTACGATTAATCTTTCTAAAAGTCCAATTGGATATAGGAGGAGCAAGTACATAAAGATGAGATTCCATTATTTGAGGGAATTATTACTAAAAGGAGGTTATATTTGAGATATTGCATAAGCGACGACGATCAAGTAGGAGATTTGTTGCCGAAAGAAGTCAGGAATTATGTCTTCAAGAAGTTGAACATGAGAATGGTAGACCGGCAGAAAAAAGTGTAATTGCAAGTGCTACAGTGTTGTTATGTAGTAAACAAGTGCAATTTTCAAAGACATAACCAATTACTATATTAAAACTTGACGCCATTGTCATTTTAGGATTTAACTGCCTTGTTTTTATTTTCTACTATTTCTCATTTACATTGTTTTTTTATTGAAAGAAATATCTATGAAATTTTAAACAAAATTAATATTTAATAATTAGAGAGGCCAGAGTCTTAATAAAATTATAGGGTAATTTTTTAGTATAAGAAAGTAAATTTAAAAGTATTTTTTTTATAAAAAAAATTGTTTTAAAATGTAAAATTGAAGAATTTGCACTCTTTTCTATGTACCATACACCCTATGAGTAGTATTTTTATGGCACTTAAAGGTTACAACTTTAATTATTTATATTGTTATTTTTCGTAGAATTTAAAAAAGCATTTTTATGGCACTTAAAAGTTACAACTTTAATTATTTATATTGTTATTTTTCGTAGAATTTAAAAAAGCTTCTTTGATTTCTTCCACATTTTTATGATATTTTCGGAATGTAAGTTGAAAATTTTGCATGTATTTTCGGAGAAATTTTTACATGGAAACGGTTAAAGTTAAAGTATTAACAAGTGTGAGTAGGGTGGATAATAGTCCCACATTGGATAGAAATGTGGTGACTTGAGCATTTATAAATAAGAGAACCCACACACCTATCACCTTAAGGTTTTGGGTGAGTATGTGGTGTGTCTCTCACAAAGGTTGCTCTAGAAAAAGTCCCACTATGTTCAATGTTCCCTAGTTGAAAGTCCAACAGTGGTATCTTGAGCCTTTGGTTCGAATAAAGGGAACGAATTACTTGTATCGGACTCACACTTGAGGAAGATGTTGATCTAACTCAATAGACGAGGTTGATTGGATCATTGCGGTACTTATGCAATACCGGTTCGAATAAAGGGAACGAATTACTTGTATCGAAAGTATCCCCACAGGTTGTGGGTTGAGTGTCTCGTTGAAGAGTGTCAACGAGGAAGATGTTGATCTAACTCAATAGACGAGGTTGATTGGATCATTGCGGTACTTGTGCAATACGCGACCGGTTCGAATAAAGGGAACGAATTACTTGTATCGAAAGTATCCCCACAGGTTGTGGGTTGAGTGTCTCGTTGAAGAGTGTCAACGAGGAAGATGTTGATCTAACTCAATAGCATTGTGGATAGACTCACACTTGAGGAAGATATTGATCTAACTCAATAGACGAGGTTGATTGGATCATTGCGGTACTTGTGCAATACGCGACCAAACATAACATTTATAAATAAGAGAACTCACACACCTATCACCTTAGGGCGGTTAGGGCGGATAGACTAGTTTCCACCGGTTTTCACTGTAGAAGGACATTGCAGTCCCGATTGCCCCACACTTTACAACGTAGTGGTGGTAGAGCACCCACACACCTATCACCTTAGGGCGGATAGACTAGTTTCCACCGGTTTTCACTGTAGAAGGACATTGCAGTCCCGATTGCCCCACACTTTACAACGTAGTGGTGGTAGAGCTAGACAGACCAAAGATCTTGATGACAAAGGCTAGTTGTTATGTGTGGTGCAAGCATAAAATGTAGTTGTTTTGCCCATAACACATTGACACCTCATTACCTCAATCAGATAACATGAAAAGACTACCAATGATGATTGATGAGATGCGATATATCTTCGAGATGACATTAAAACATGAACCAACAAAAATATATACTTCATAAAAGTTGTATTTTGAAAATGTTAAAGTAAAGTGATTGGTTGAACATAACTATATTACAATTTTAGTGTTCATAAGTATAATTATTATAGTGATTTCAACTCATATTTATTTTTCTCCTACTTTAACATCAAAATCAAAATTAGACTTTTGCATTAACTTTAAGTTACTTGCATGAAATATATGTTAAATAAAATTTTAATACAATTTACATTAGAAATACCGATATCCAATTTAAATTTCATGGGTACCATATAATTTAATGTTTTTTTTTACTGTTCTTCACAAAACTTATAATTATAATTCTGCATGGATTATTTTTACTGTTCTTCACTTAAAAAAAGAAAGAAAGAAAAAAAACAAACCGTGTGAGTGCATGCAACATGGATTATTTTTCTATCTGTGTGCCAATTATCATGACCTTATAATCACGAAATTAACACTCTTGTTGATAAACCTATAAATTTAATAGGATAATGAAAAGTCATTCGTCGTTATAAGAGAAGATAATTAAATTATTTTCATGGAATCAAGACAGGCACATGCAGAGTACAACTATAATATTAATGCTCACACATTAACTACTCCACTTACATAAAAACCAACCAACCCGAGATATTAAACAACGCTATAGTCTGATTCAGAGATTTTCTTAAACAGTTCTCAATCACTTTGAAAAACAATGGCCAAAAAGTACAAAGGTCCAGCAATTGGAATTGATCTTGGAACAACCTATTCGTGTGTAGCAGTTTGGCAGGGCCAAAACAATCGTGCAGAGATCATTCACAATGATCAAGGAAATAGAACTACACCTTCTTTTGTTGCTTTTACTGATTCTCAAAGGTTGATTGGCGATGCTGCAAAAAATCAGGCTGCTTCAAACCCAGCCAACACTATCTTTGGTAATCTATCTTTTACATCTTGTTGCATAGTTTATATATTATTTACATCTATGATATCATTAGAACATAAAATGTGTATATCATTGACATTTTGGTTGCTGTAGATGCTAAGAGGTTAATTGGAAGGAAATATAGTGATCCTGTTATTCAGAATGACATACAGTTGTGGCCATTTAAAGTTGTTGCTGGCAAAGATGACAAACCTGAGATCAGAGTTATGTATAAGGGTGAGGAGAAGTGCTTTTGTGCTGAGGAAATCTCATCAATGGTCCTCACAAAGATGCGTGATATTGCTGAGAAATTTTTAGGATCAACTGTTGAGAATGCAGTAGTTACTGTGCCTGCTTATTTCAATGATTCTCAGCGGAAAGCTACCAAAGATGCTGGTGCCATTGCCGGCCTCAATGTAATTCGGATAATCAACGAACCTACTGCTGCTGCTCTTGCATATGGCCTTCAGAAGAGAGCTAATTCTGCTGAAGAGAGGAATATTTTCATCTTTGATCTTGGTGGTGGAACATTTGATGTGTCTGTTCTCACAATTAAGAATAATCTCTTTGATGTGAAAGCCACTGCAGGAGACACTCATCTCGGAGGCGAAGATTTTGATAACAGAATGGTGAACCACTTTGTGATGGAGTTCAAGAGGAAGTATAATAAGGACCTTAGTGGAAACCCAAGGGCTCTTAGGAGGTTGAGAACCGCTTGCGAGAGGGCAAAAAGGACACTTTCATTTGATACAGATGCTACAATTGACATAGATGCCTTATTTGAAGGTATTGATTTCCAGTCAGCAATCACCCGTGCCAAGTTTGAGCAACTCAATTTGGATCTCTTTGAAAAGTGTATCAAGACTGTTGAGAATTGTCTTACTGACTCTAAGATAAACAAGAGCAGTGTGGACGACATTGTTCTTGTTGGTGGTTCTTCTAGGATTCCCAAAGTGCAACAACTATTGCAAGACTTTTTCATGTGGAAGGACCTTTGTTTGAGCATCAACCCCGACGAGGCTGTTGCATATGGTGCAGCTGTTCAAGCTTCTTTACTGTGTGAAGACACTGAAAATTCTCTTAACTTGGTTCTGCGTGATGTTACCCCGTTATCTCTAGGTATGTTGGTTAAAGGAGGTATTATGAGTGTGGTGATTCCTAGAAACACCTCTATTCCTGTCAAGATAACCAAAAATTATTTTACAATCGAAGATGACCAATCGAATATATTCTTTAGTGTTTATGAGGGTGAGAGATTGAAAGCAACTGAGAACAACTTATTAGGTTCGTTTAATTTCTCAATACCTCCTGCGCCTCGAGGCCACATTCCTGTCAAAGTTTGTTTTTCTATCGATGTTGATGGTATTTTAAACGTCTCGGCCAAGGAAGAAACTGGTGGGAATGAGAAAGATATTACAATAACAAGTGAAAAGGGAAGGCTATCAGCCGCTGAAATTGAGAGAATGATCCAGGAAGCTGAGAATTTCAAGAATGAGGACATGAAGTTTATGAAGAAAGTTGAAGCAATGAATGCTTTGGACGATTATCTTTACAACATGAGGAAAGTAATGAAGGACGATAGTGTTACTTCAATGCTAAACTCAATTGACAAAATGAAGATCAATTCTGCAATGATAAAAGGGAAACAGTTGATTGATGGCAAGCAGGACAAAGAAACATTTGTGTTTGTGGACTTTCAGAGGGAGCTTGAGAACATCTTTGAATCAGCTATGAAAAAGATTAACAAAAGTTACTTTGATGAAGATAGTGACTCTGAATCTTAATTTCTTACTGATAACCGTTTACTTATTTTATTTTCATTTAGGAATTTTAGTTTCCTCATATATGTATTGTTGGAACTGTTTGCTTTGTTTCCTTGATTTTGATCAAATATGAAATTTTAGGGTTCTTTTCTTTTAATCATCTTTGTGTTGTAGTGTGAGAAGATTTTAGCATGAAATGTACTGAAATTTTATATCACCCTAAGTATTTTTTATAAGAATCTGGTTTTAAAAGGTAACATTGATTGAAAACTTGTGAGAAAGGGATTATACGGGGTTTTCATATTTTGAGAAAGTTTTCGTAAATATAAAAAAAACTATATTTGATAAAGATATTTTTTGCTACTGTATAGTTTATTTTAATTGACTTATAGTTTTTTTTTAAGTTAATTAAAGTAGAGATTAATTTTTTAAATGTATCCTTTTTTTCCTTTCCGGTTTTACTTATGATATCTTAATTCAAAAAAAAAATTAAAAACTTTATTGGATCTTTAATTAGTAATTAAAATGTTTGTTTATATTGTTTTTATTATTAACTTTTATTAATAATAAATCGTCTAATTATAATATTGTAGTCAAGCTAATTTGTTGGGAAAAAATTGGTTAATATCCATTATTAAATACAGCATAAGTACACCAAAGTGCAGTATGTCTCTTTTGCATATTTTACGTTTACATTAAAAAACTTAAAAAATTACAATATAGGTGTAATCTTGTTTCATATCATGTAAGGAGTTAAATATCTATTAATTATCTCATTATCATTATAAAATTACTTTAAACTATATATATCTTAAAAATTATTATTATTATTATTATTATTATTGAAGTTTCTATACTTCAGAATCATGACATGAACATTCTCTCTTCTTTATATGAAAGAGTTTCTATTAAGCAAGACTGAAAATTTTAACGGTAGACAAAGTCTGTTTGTTGAAAACATCTCATATTCAGAAAGAATTAACCTTCAGCAAACAAGATTTTATGCTTTCGGATGATTCTTGTTGATCTCTTCTAAATCATTCTTCTTAAGCCTTGTCTAGGCATTACCTTGAGGAGATGTGTAGCTCTCAACTAACTTATTTCAATAATAGCATTCATCAGACTCTTCTAATTATCTAATGAGTTTATTATCCTCTTACCAGCTGATTCTTCATCTTACTTTCAATCTTCTTGCTAGCGCCATAAGAGAAGATTATGTTGTCAATAACAACCAGCTCTAAGAATCAATGACACAATCCAGAATGAACCTTTCTGGTTTTTTATTTCAGTACCCAATCTTTTCATCATCATATGAGACTGATACTATAGATGGTGGAGGAGATTAGCCAGAGCATTTCTCAAAGCTCGTCCGGATCTTTATCTGACACGGTTAAGTGTTTGATAAATATCAATAACAGAAGCGGAGCTCAAATGCCAATTGAAGATTGAGAAACACAAGAAATGGAGGTTTGAATTGGGTTTCACATTTCGTCCCATTTTTTGAAATTAAACTAATGACATTAACAAGTAAACAAAAATAAATGAACACAATTATTTTTATCCTGGTTCACTGTTAACGAAGTTACTCCAGTCCATCCACCAAGGTGATTTCGCCTTAGACAATGACTTAATTCAATAATCATCAACATGATTACAACCTCTAAGTTGTTAAACAACATTCTTAGCCCTCTCAAGCATCCTGCCTTTCACTTAGCCGCTCAAGGAATATCATCCACTAAGCTGTTAGAGACACGCTTAGTCATCTCAAGCATTTTGGTCTTCACTCGACCGCTCAAGGAACAACACCTTTTACAAGGATTTTCTTGTGCGCTAATATGCTTCTTACAAGCTGATTGCGCAGATGAAGTACATGGACACCTAAGTGTTTCTTAGAAAGATATGAGCAACAACTCCTTGCTTTCTAATACAAAACTATCTAATGATAAATCTCTAAGAGATTATAAAGCACACTAGTTCTGTATTGTTTAAAAGCTTTCTTCCAGTTTAACCATCAAGATCAACTAAGTTACTATGTTTCACTTATTGATATTTCACTTGACTAGTTATACATGGTTTTAGCATGTTGCATCGTTGTACACACATTCAAACATTTTGCTTCAGCTTCTTCTTCATTGAGCATTCTTCATTTAAGCTTCAGATTGTAGCATTTTCATTAGCACTTTGGCTTTGCATGGCATTGTGCTGTCACCAGCAACCCGCTACTGCAACCAGCTATTCTTCAAGCTTCTTGATCTTCAATTTATAGAACTTGAGAGAATAGATCCGTTGAGGGGCATTCTTGGAAACATATTCCAAGGACAATATCCCAATGTTCACATGAAGGAATGGTCAATATCACTGTACAAAAAGCTGCTATTGCGCCATTTTATCGAGGTAGAGGTCACAATTTTTGTTTTCTTATGTTCATCTCAAAACCATTCTTATCTTCAGTATTTTAGAATCTTTAGAGGCTTCAGATATTTACTTGATAAAACATGTTGTAGAAGAGTCGTTTATTTGCAACTTCAGAAACCCAATCTTCAGAATTCCATGATCTTTGTTCAGCAGAACTATCTTGAGAATCTTCAACACTCGTTCTTTTAGAAGTAATATCTTCAGAGTCTTCAGAACCTGTTCCTACAGAACCTTATCTTCAGAGTCTTTAGAATTCATTAAGCATATTCTCGTCTTCAGAGTCTTCAGTACTTTGTTTACCTGAACCTTGTCTTCAGAAACTCTTCAGAACTTGACCTTCAGATATTGAGCCTTCAGAATCTTCAGAACCATGTTCACCTGAATCGCGTCTTCAAAATCTTCAAAACTTGTAACATTAGAAGTGCATCACATTAGAAATCCTTATAGTCCTTTCTCATAGGGTCTCAATTAGAATGTCCAGAACTAACGTTCATTAGAACCGTTGCTTTAGAAACATTCATGAATCTTGAATTTATCTTGTACACACATATGTTTTCTTCTAGAATGTTGATAACAGGGTCTGATGATCTCACACAACTTCTTATCAGATTCAGAATCATATTGACAATAGTCACACACTAGACATAAACCATATCATACATAATTGTTCTCTTAGATAACATGTGCAGTTATCATCAAAACTCAAAGGTTAGATGTAGAACCAAATCTTGTTCTTACAATCTCCCCCTTTTATGATAACAAACAATTCATTTTGATAGACAATTCGTATAGGGTAATCACCATAAACCCACAGAGTCAAAGATAAGATTAACAGGCTTCCCTTGATTCTGTTACTCTCAAAATTAATTTATTCTTGTTCAGAGTCTCCCCATGATCCCAAGATTCACAAAATAAAAATTTTGAAGTACCAATTGAAGGAATATTTCTCCGTAGACGTTTCATCAGAATCTGGCTAGAACTGTATGGTCTTCATCTTAGAACCTAGCTTACTATCAGAATATTGTAGATGTATCAGAACCTGATTTGTCTTATCAGACTTGACGTCTTGTATTATATATCAAAAACTGGTAGATACTTTCTTAGATGCCACACATCATGTATCAAAATCAAATCTTTAATATTTTAGCACAGATCACCAACAGGTGCACATATCCTCATGTCATTTTATGGTTCAGAAACTGAATATTTTCTTTAATGAACATGACTTTATTTGATCTCCTAAAGATTCACATTCTTTTAATGTTGGAATCTATATACCATTTTAAGTTTAGATACCAATTGAATTTTAAATACCAATTGAATCATTCTTTTAGAAAGTTAACAACTTCTGACAAATTTTGGGTATCACCGCGAAACTCATGGACATCCTTTATTTTTGATAACTTAGTGGTCAACACCAGATGTTCATATATTATCAGATCACGCTTGTTTACCATTCTTCTTTCTTGTACACCGGCTTCTGAGTATATTAACTTCTGAAGTACTTGTTTCTTGAACATATCTTCTGATAATTGATCAAATACAAATTATGTATTCTGATATATCATAGCTTATGATATAATCATAATCTTCTTCAGTCTTCTAATAGCCTGTTCTAACATAGAGTGAACTTTTATGAAGTTCCTGATGAATTCTCAACCGTAGATTAGAAGTAAAACATATTCAAAGTATATTTAGGATTGAGATTCTTAGATATAGGAATATCAAAATCATTATACTTTCTCCCCCTTTGTCAGAAATAAAAAAGGTATAGAAAAGAAATTGACAAAGAATTATGAAGATGATCATAAAGACAGAAAACAAAATATCATTAATACTAAATAGTGGTTACATAAAAGTAAAACAAACAGGAGACAATAGCAAGGAGCACTGAGAAACTGAAGCTAAAAGAAATGAAACAACAAGCAAGCAAGACTACATAGACCACAGACAAAAAGAAAAACGATCAAAACGTATAAGGCTTAAAAACAACTACTACTACCCGACACATCAGAACTACACCTTAAAGTCCACCAAATTATCAACCTTTTCACACCGCACCACCTCAGCTGCATTTTCTGGTCCAAGCCTCTTAGTGAACCCAACAATCTCAGCTTTAAAAAAAAGTTCAGACAGAATCCTTCCGTATGGAATATAGGATTTATGCTGACTTCTGGAGATATCAATTGTGTTATTCAAATGGTTGAAAATGGTTTGAGGCAGGTTAGTCCAAACATTTTCCATCAGGAAGTAGATAAAGAGTCTGTCATCATGTGACAAAACATTTTTGTCTACTCCCCTTGGTCGGAAGTTGGATAGCAGAAGTTGAAACCAGGCTTTAGCTATGGGTAGGAGTCCTTCAGGATCATTTGGTTTGAATATTGGAAGGGAGTTGTCATGAATGACAGAGAGTTTTTCAACAAAGTTATAGTTAAGATGAAATTCTTCCACAGTGGTACCCGTTTGAAAATAACCTATAGCTTCAGCAATGGAGGTAGGAGTTACAATGAAGGGAACCCCAAAAACAGAGGACTCAACAGAGTTACCATCGTCACTAACTCGTGCAAACTTGCAAAACTCCTTCACAAGGTTTGGATAGATGGGTC